CTTCGATGTCCTATTTAGTTAGATATAAGTAATGCCACCCCTAGTTTTGTTGGTTTTTCCATTTCTGGTTGCCTGAAAAAATATTTTTCTATCCCCTCCACCTTTCAATCTGCCATGACTCCCCTCTTCAGAAGGTGGGTCTCCTGGAGGCCAGCAAAAAAAAGGGAACCAAGTTTCCTTAAAAAAAAAGGGGGGGGGGTGTGTGGGGGTGTGTGTGGGTATAAATATATATATATAAATACACACACACACACACACACACACACACACACACACACTAGAGGTCCAGTGCACGAAATTCGTGCAGGGGGGCAGGGGGTCCCTCAGCCTGGCCTTCAACGACTCCAGCATCCCTTGCCCCGGCCTCTGGCCAGAGGCCCCTCCCCTCCCTCTGCGCGGCTGAGGAGCGGATGCCAGGCTTGTGTTGCCTGGGTTATGCCACCAGCGTCCTGCCCCGGCCACTATGGGTGCCGCCATCTTTGTTGTGGAGTGGTGGTTAATTTGCATATTACTCTTTTATTAGATAGGATATATATATATTATTGATTTTTTTTTTTTTTTTTTTTACAGAGAGGAAGGGAGAGGGATGGAGAGTTAGAAACATTGATGAGAGAGAAACATCGATCAGCTGCCTCCTGCATACTCCCCACTGGGTATGTGCCCGCAACCAAGGTACATGCCCCTGACCGGAATCGAACCTGGGACCCTTGAGTCTGCAGGCCGATGCTCTATCCATTGAGCCAAACCGGTTAGGGCTGGATCATGTTTTCTTATGCATTCAGCCACCTTACGTCTTTTGATTGGAACATTTAATCCATTTATGTTTAAGATTATTGATAAGTACTTGTTTGTAGCCATTTTTATTCTTTATGCCTGTGTTCCTTCTTCCCTTTCTACTTCTTTTTAAACTTTCCCTTTAGCATTTTTTGCATTGCTGACTTGGTAGTAATAAACTTCCTTAACCTTCTTTTGTCTGTGAAGCTCCTGATTTCCCCTTCAATTTTGAATGATAGCCTTGCTGGATAGAGTATTCTTGGATCCAGTCCCTTGCTTTGCATCACTTTGTATACTTTCTTCCATTCCTTTCTGTCCTGATGTGTTTCTGTTGTGAAATCATTTGATAATCTAATGGAAGATCCCTTGTAGGTAACTTTCTGTCTTTTCCTTGCACCCCTTAAGATTCTCTCTTTGTCGCTAATGTTTGCCATTGTAATTATGACGCATAGTGTTTTGGGTCTTTTTGGGTTCATCTTGTTTGGGACTCTTGTGCTTGTGTGACTTTTCTTCCCCAAATCAGGGAAGTTTTCTGTCATTATTTCCTCAAATAGTTTTTATAATCCTTGCTCCTCTTCTTGTCCTTCTG